TTCCCTATTCCCCTGCTAGTAATCTCTGTACTGGAAGCTTTTCAGTGCGGACTAGCTCTGTTATGTATTTCTAGTCTGGCTAACACAGGAAGGCACTGACTCAAATCAAGCCTTGGAATTTCTGCAATGCAAGTAAAATGAGCAGCTCTTACAGAAGCTTCTGACAGTCATTTGAATTAACAGAAGTCAATCTGACACTTGAGAATAATAGTATAAAATTGTAGGCTGAAAGCTTTACATAAGGCCAGAAGCTTGTTAGCAGAACAGATTACTTTTTTTTTTTTTTTCCCCCTCCTTCCTCCCTTGGTGTGGGGAGTACAGTGACTCTTGATGCATGATGGGGGCTGAGGATTTGAGCAGTCATGCTCTCTGCTGTCAATCGTCCTTCCATTATGTTCATTGAAGTAGTTATTTACTTGTTGCTGTCTTCCCCCTCCTGCAGCTTCACAAAAGCAGCTATCTGGTTTGATCTACAGGTTTTCTAGCTGATGCACAGGTTCTAAGTTCAGCTATGTTTGTTACTGCTTGTTTATTCAGTTTGAGAAAAGATGTACTTTTTTCTGCAATTTACAGCTGATTTTATTGATGAGTGTCCCTGATGTCTCTGGGTGGTGTTCACCCAAGGAAAACCTTATAAATCAACACGTACTCAGCCTGGAGATGTAGAATTTGAGCTATATGTTATGATGAAGTGCCAGTTAGTTTTTGTGCTGTGTTATTCTCTTCAGTTACAACTGCTTTCTTTAAAAGGCTACCATTTGTTCACATTTTCTTGCAAATATTTTATGCATTTAGTATGCATATTATAATACCCAGCAATTTTGAAAATGGGTAGAAATTCAATAACAATCACTAGTTTACTAAATACAATAGCTAATCAAAATTTACAGGTTCCATGGTTTGGCTTCCTTGAGAGATAGTTTTTCTGTATGTTTGCTGTAAGTTTCTTTTTGTCTTCTGACATAAAAAGAATTTTGTGAAAGAATGGTATAGAGAAGATGTGGTCTTGTGTTTGTTTTTTGGTTTTTTTTTAAGCCAATGAAATGAAGGAAAAGAATATTTTCTTTCTCACATAAGTAAACTTCTTTCTGTTATCAAGTACCCTCTCATAGTTGCTTTTGCTATCAGTGATGTAGCTGGTCCTTATTACTTTTTTTTGTCCATTACATGTTTTCCAGCTTTTTACAGGACCTAGCTGTGCAAAGGGTTGATGTTCAGTTCTAGCACAGGTGGGCAGATGCCTGCTGCAGTCTGGTTGTCACATTGGTACCTGTGGTGGTAAAGTGTGTGGGCCTGTCCTGAGAATCCAAGATGTTCAAAAGATGTGGCTCCAGGAAATGAGAAGTCTTGTGGTAGTGACCTTTCAAACTTTCTAGTCCTGCTATTTTCACCTGCCTGTCTCCTGGCTGTTTTTGGAATCATGACTAGGAGATGTTATGCTGTGAGCTAGTGGGTGACACAGCTGTGCAGGGGTGAGTTGTGGTGGTGCAACCAATGATGAGTGTACCAGCCCACAGGGGCCAGTGGGAGTTCCTTGGGACAGCACTGGCTCTGAGACTTCCCTGGCAGGGGACAGTGGCCTCAGTTTCTCTGCTGGCTTTGCTGTAGTTGCCAGCTCCTCCTCAAGTTTTTGTGAACATATTGTCACACTGCTGGTGTTGGCTGTGCAACTCGCCTTTTACTTTTGTGAAGAATCCCTGACAAAGCCTGTCACTGGGTAGTTCTCACTCCTAAACAGCCACGTCTGCCTTCCTGTCCATAGCGATGTGTGCCTGCGGTGTGTGTCACCGTGCGTGACCTCAGTGGGAGCACTGCATGTGCTGCTGTAGCTGACCGCTGCTTTCCTCTCTTCTCCATCTCCAGCCACTTCCTCCTGCCCCCGCTGGTGTACCTGCACAGGTACTTGTGCATCTCTCTGCAGTGGATCTAGGAACTGCACTGGCCTAAAAATAGCCCTTTTTTTTTTTTTTTTTGTTTTTTTTTTTTTCCTGTGCTGGCTTTTACCTCATTCAGCGCCCGCTGGTGAGGAAGGCTGTGCAAACAGCCAGGCCAGGACACTACACATTTGGGTGATGCAGTGATAGGGAAAAAGGATGCTTGATCTAATTTAGATACATATGTTTAATTATGCTGGCTTCTGTTTTCTGTTGGGGACCCCCTTAATATTTTAATTGCTTACTGCCTTGATCCTTAAAACAAGCATAGTGAATATTCAGTTTACTGTTCAGCTTACCAGTCAGTCTATTCATCAATATTATTCCAACCAGTAGCTGAATCTTTCCACCTCCACATTTTAGAGAGTACTACATGTATCTCAGAATACAGATAATGCCAACTGACATATTTTTCTTTAATCATAGTTTATCCAAAATTCTCCATTTTAATGAATAAGTGCTTTCTGGTTTGTTTTTTTATGAGCTACTTTGTGAGTGTCTATTGGAAAAAATGGGAAAGGTTATATGTTGGAGAATTACTGGGGTGTTCTTTTTCAGGCATACCACAATCATAAAATGGTGTTCAACCCTGTAAAACATACCGTTTGCCCTAAAATAACCAAAAAAGGCAAAACAAGAGGAAATACTTTTTTGTGTTTGTGTGCTGGACTTCACTATCCTTCTTCCGTATTACTAGTCAGTCCCAGATTTATGGCTTGAGTGGTCAGCTCCTCTCCTTGCTGTTACATGTCCTACACAACAATAGAAGAAAGAAAAACTGTTAACTCTGATTCCTGAGCCTGCTGAAAGGGAGAAGGGAACTTTGTGATGCATCTGTATTCTTCTGACTGTTTCACTTTGGAAAGAAAGGAAACGTGAGGACTAGAAACTTGTATTTCTGTTGACTTAAGCCATAGTTTCGTAATGGAGTCTGCATTTATAAGAGTGGACTTTTCAAAAATGCCTAAGCAGGTGATGCTGACTTCCATGGGAATTAGCTGTGTAACCTGCTTACAAGTTTTTCAAGATCCTACTATAAATCCCTGATTCTTTCTACCTACTTCAGTCACTGATATTGGAGCACTTGAGGAGGGCTTTGTATCTACCACTGTTTTTAAAAGATGGAACTTGAGGAAGGTTTTGCCTATTCAAAACTAGTCTCTAAAGAAAACTAATTTCTTGTCTTTAATACAGTAAAAAATGTAATTCATGCTTAGGCCACTGAGCACATAGTTAATGCTTGCTTGGGGCTTTACAGCTTTAGGTTTCTATGCAACAGAACAGATGGAAAGTAATTTTAATAGAAGCCCCCAAATGTTTACATATCCAAGTACCTGATGATCAGCCTAGTGGCAGCCATATGGAAAGAATTAATGTTTAAGTACATGTAAGCATACTGGTATTGGTTTAAGTTAAGTTCTTTAGCAGTGTTACCCAGACAGACCTTGTGCACTAAGGCATTTGCTGTGGGTGGGAAGTTACTGTGGCTTGATGAATACTGACATCTATGATTTCTTCTTTCTGTAAGCATTTAACCAGTTACCCTCTCAGAACAGAAACTCATGCTATCTCTTGACAGTGTTTCATTTGCTGATTAGGAACATAATGGAGCACAAAGGACATGGAAAGGAATAAAGCAATTTTGGATTGTTATATATTCTACCAGCAAAGTGTTTGCATCACAGCCATTGGTGAATACTGGTATCTGCTTCATTGAGGTCATGATATTACTTTGTGTTCATAGTCTTGCTGCTTAATTCCTGAGCTGCTTGAATAACTTACATAGCAGGCAGTAACAAAAAGAGTCAGCAATAGCTGCGGGATTCAATGCTCAGACATCTCCAAGAACAATGAGCTTGCAGCCAGTTATACAGAGAAGCAGAATGCGTGAGTGTGTAAAATAAAAATAATGCTGGTATTGACATCCTAAATATAGCCCTGGAGGTCAGCAACTGATTCAGCTGGTGCTTGCCTCATTCCCTGCAGACTATGGAGTTAAATCACAGGGAGACTGTGGTTCCAGGGAACTTAACATATGGTAATCAAATACATTACCATATGTTAACCCTATTAACATATGGAGGAAGGAACACAGTTGGCAAGGGAATTTCTAAACCTGAAGTGAAAGGCAGCTGCTCTGGTGTTACTTGCCCTTGTTAGCTTCAGTACCTCTGAGTGCTGCTTGGATAATTAATTGGCTTGGGAGGCTTCCGGGTGAAGAAATGCAAAGCCCAGCTCACAGGACTCTCAGCCAGTGGCAGGCTGGTTCAGCGGTCCCTCCTCAGCCAAATGTTCTGGTCCTTGCCTTGCAAAAACACTGGCTTGGTTTAAATGTTTCAAGTGATGCAGGGAGAATTATATCCCTCTGTTTGGGCTGAATGGCATCTTCACAGCTTGAATTCTCACAACGTGCTCAATGACTGAGAGCTCTGAAAAGACTAATCTGCTGTGTCTTCTGAATGCCTCTATGCTTTGAGCAGGACCTGTTCACTCATTTTAACAGTCCTTCTACTGCCTATTTTTATGTTACTATTTTGAAATATGTGGGGCCTAAAATCAATAAAACTCATGTGACAAGAAGTCATATGTTGTCATGAGATTTTAAGCTCTTTTTTTTTAACCTGCTTCTAAGAATTAGCATCTAGGTGTTTTTTTCTTGTGAGTGGAAGACTGAAAAGCTACAAATATGAAGTTACGAGTGTGTGCATTCAAAGAGATATATTTGTTTGAATTATCCATCTTCTCCTGTTCTGTCCATTCTCATTTTACTAGTGAATGAAAAGCTGATGTTTGAGGCTCTAATGCTCTAAGGCAGATCTTGGTCAAGGCATTCAATAGTCATTTCCTTACTGGGGAGTTATCTCTTGTCAGGTGCACGTACTAGGACGGTACACATAGGTGACACATTTTGAGACCTTAATTTAGCATAGTGTCAGCTCTGTTGTGAACTTGTCTTTGTGATCTCCACAAGCACTTGAATCTCTGTCTCTCAAGTCACCTACGAAAAATGCACGTTCATGTGAGATTCATTTAATCTCTTAGCATTGTGTGTGTTTATCGTTCTGTGGGAACAGGCTAACACCTTTCTCCTTTCTCCTCCCTCCTCCCTCTGTGTTTCTCAGCTAGAGGATGAAATTTCAACTTTGCGGCAAGTGCTAGCAGCCAAAGAAAAGCACCTGGTTGAAATTAAACAAAAACTTGGCATAAGTCTGATGAATGAACTGAAGCAGAACTTTAGCAAAAGCTGGCACGATATGCAGACAACTTCTGCGTGAGTACAGACCTTGCACAGATTCATCCTTCTATGTTGTGTAGCATGTTGGGGGTGTTGTCTTGATGAGCCCTGGTATGAAATTTAGCAAGCCAGGAAGAGCAGATGGCAAGGACAAACATGTCAAGCTTCTCAGATCAAGGAGACCTGCAAAAAAAAACATTCCATAGCAGCTGCATTCTTTGCTACTGGGTTGCATCTCATTCTTGCAAAATCACAGCAACTAAAACTGTTGTCCTGAGAAGGTTATCTTGTCCTATGACATGTTCTTACACAGTCCTTACTGAGGAGAGAAGGAACCTTTTTTAATATCAACGTTTTATATTACTCAACTTCCAAGAGAAACAATGTAAACAGAAATAATTTTAAAGTTTACCGAATTAGCAATTATTTTTAAAAATGTTACTATCATCTGAATGATAAAGAATACTGGCAGGATCAGTTGATGTTTGACTCTGTTTAATTCCTGCTTTTAGCTGTCCAAAATTTAAAAAAAAAAAAAAAATTGTTGGGAGTAATTGCACCATCTTTGAGGCTAACGTAAGCCCTACATATGTTGTTGTTTGTTATTTGCTGTCAGTGTGCTGTCAGACAAGTCCCTGAAGCCTCTCACAGCCATGTTTTGCCACTGTGCAGAATGTGTAACTAGTTCACAAGAGTTCAGTGAAACTTGCCTTGTGTAATATGCAAGCAGCTTTAGGTTCCCAGGGTGAAACGCAATGCATGAATATGAAGTGTTACTCCACTACTGTTGTTGAAATAGTTTTAACTTGATTTTTTCTTTTTTTTTTTTTCCTTAAAAACTACTGTGGAGGGTACCTTTTAAAAATGCAGCAGTTCTTGGATGAGAAAGCAAAGGAGGGAGCTTATTGGGACTGCAGCTTGCTGCCAAAAACTACTGGTGCAAGTGTTTTGTCTCACATAAGGAAGGAGTTAAAAATACACATATGGACATAGAAATAAAACCATCCTGAATCTGCCACAAAAAAAAATTTCAAACCCAGGATAGGTAGTATTACTTGCAAGTTGAAAACACTCTTTGCTCTGTATCTCTGATAGAGTGTCACTGAGAGAGATGGTGAATAAAACTGTGATTACCAAAGCTCTACAAAATTATAATTACTATGGGGCTGGTCTCAGCTTCATGCTGATCTTTATACTAATACACATGAACATACCATGTTCCTCTAAAACTTTCTGGGCTGAATTAGTAGCAACATTGGTAGGAAGAAACACCCACCTTTCATCAAGTACTGTCTGAAAAGTTACTTGATCTTTTTTTTTTTTCCTTGTTTCAATTGACAACTGAATTTGAAACTTGGGAAGAAACAAGAGCGAGCTCCTCCACAACAAAGCTGAGCTGGGAGATGCCAGCAGGGCAGGCAGGGCAATGGCATCACACATGAAACAGCAGTCCCACAGTACCTGAACAAAGAGTGGAGCAGGTCCAGTGACAATAAATGGGGTCGAGCCAAGATTGAGTCTGCGGTGATGAGCCAGAGGTCAAGGTCAAGCCAGGAAATTAAATCTCTGAGTCAAGATGAGTGAGTACCTGGCCAGATACAGGCACACCAGTAGGTGCCTGTCACTCAGAGAAGGACCAAAGACTTAAATGCAGTCTAAACATTAGTCTTGCTGGCAAGTGAAGGGGAGGGGTGCCTAACAAGGCTTCTCCCAGCTCTTTCTTGCACAGCACTGTCACCACAGTCTCACCCAGGGTTACGCAGTTGTGCAGTGTCAGAGCTGGCCTTGAGCCCAGGTGGCCACACCCATGGGAGGCAGGGGAAGAGTCTGCAGTGCCCTGTGGTGCATTCAAGGCCCTGACAGGCTTGGAAAACATCTGTTAAAACATGGTTTTGCATTAAAATAATAATTCTTTGTATTGTGAGAGCAATAACAAGGCATATGCCTGCTAATAGGAAATGTAGTTTGTGTGTCTCCTATCTAACTTTTGGACAGTTTCTCAGCTTGGTCCTATTTCTCATGACATGTTGTTCTGTCCCGGTTAGAAGGCAGCACTGTGTCCCACCTCCCTTATCCCTCAGTTTCCCAGATAAAGAGGTAAATAAGGAAGGCAGGGGTAATGAAAACCTTGCACCAAATTGAAAATTAACAAAATGAAATGTATTATTTAACAGGGATCAGAAAGGAAGAAGGGAAGGGGTTTAACAGGGTACAGAAAGGAAGAAGGGTAGGGGTTTAACAGGGAAGGGGGGTTGTAGGAACAACAAGGCAAGGAAGATTAAACTTCCAAATATACAAAACCCAAATGCTATGCTGAGGCTCCCCGGTGCTGGATCTCGCTGGATTGAGGTGGATGGAAGCTGGATGCACAATCCTTGGACGTGGATGGAGGCAGGGAAGAGTCTGTGGATCAGGGCCAGGTCTCCAAGATGGCCACGGCCACGTGTAGCACAGGGAGCAGCAGAGCAGCGTGTGCCCAGGTGCAAGGTCAAAGGAGCAAGAGGAAAAGAGAAGAGGAAGAGGAGCAAGGCGTGCCTTTCTCCCCTTTTTATAGACCTTGGCAGGAAGTCCCGAAGACAGGAAAAGGGGAGTGGGAATAGGACAGGTGTACGCCCCTTTCATTCAGGCTTGTACCTGGTTTAGGGTTTCAGACCTCCACCCACCAGGGGCAGCAGGTTTCAAACCATTACACATGTCATTAACAGGGGCACCCATGTTGGCTTGGTGGAGATGTCTGGCATGTGCTAGAAGAGGACAGCCTAGAGACACTGACCTTTAGAAGAGAGGAAGGGCACAAGACACCTGAACTAGAGTTACTAGGAGGCATTAGCAACATTTTGAAACAAAACCTTTAATTTTTACTTGAAATTTAGTAGCAAATTATAAGACAACTTTTCACTTTCCTTTCACAATGTTGATATTTTCCACAAGGATAGAGTGACTTAGGAGACTTTTATCAGTCTTGTAACTGTGATTTTTTATTTAAGAGGAGTTACAAGACTCACAAGCCATTAGGTGATGGAAGTTCACAAGCAGTTGTATGGAACTTGGCAGCAGAAGTCCATCTGTGTCCTTGAAAATCCTGATCTTCATGGTCCAACTGCTAACTCTGGCTGATGCTCATGCCAGTACACTGATGCCAGTACAAATCATGGTAATCAGGCATTTTTTGGAATGGGTGTGTTAAGTAATAGAGGTGATTCTTCATTGCTGCACCAAAATAGCAATGGGGTAGCATTACTGACCAAGATTCTCTGACTTAGTGAGGATGAAAAACCTGTTTTAAAAAGATTACATTTCAAAATACTTACGTGCCTGTTCTTCAGGTTTCTAAGTGCAACATTAGTAATTTTAAATTTTAAAAACACTTGTTTTTAAGGAGTCAGATTTTACTTTTTCACTCAGTCTTACTGGGGTTTGTAGCTACTGTGCTTTTCTGGAAGTTAAAACCACTTTTCTTTAATGGGGAAATTTTTAAAGCCATGCAGTGATAAAGCACCAAATTTTTGTCCTGATATTGTTGATAATCTTTTTAAGCTCTGCATTTAGGATCATTGTGCATTGTTAGGGTCAAAGGGGACTTCAGGCAGAGGGATGGACTTTTTTTAAAAAAACACTTCTGTAAAGTGTGCCTGATAAGACTCAAGACCTAACTCACAATATAGATGCCACCTGGAATGACTAAATTTAAACAGAATTTGAGATTCTGACTGTTTTTAAGCATTTTGATTTTAAATCCTTGGTCATGGGTGGCTTAGCAGTTAGCCTGAGTATGCTTGATATGTATGTGTGGGAAATTGTCATTAAAGGATTGCTATGATTAAAAACAAAAAAAAAAGTCATAATTTTCATACTGAGAGGCAAGAGCTGTGGGTAGGTGGGCTGATAACCTTCAACCTGTGGAGGACATGTCCAGCTCAACATACCGTTCTGTACAAAGTCTGTTTCCTTGTCATTAATTCATGCTTTAAGGTATGCAAAAGCAATTCTAACTACCACATAGTAAGACATTACATTTGCAACTTTAATGTGCAGCTTTTTTTTTTGGTATCAAATCAGGTTTTTTTAATCACCTTTGTTTTTCTCTAAAGAAAATGTTTAACGTTGTTTGCATTTTCAGCTGTGTATGAAATACACCTGGAAGTCATTAATTTATTATGATGACCAGAATCCTAAATAATTTTTCACATTTCTTATTAATTATGCTATTACTTAGTGCACTGCTCTTCAGTATAATGTATGTGTTAGGGAATGCAGGGGTTCTCCTATAGAGGTGATCACTAACTAGAGAGCAAATGATTATCTCAGTTGAATACCACCAAGAAAGCAAATTAAACTGGAATGACTCCCCCCACACACCTTTTTAAAGATCAGGTTTCCAGTGAGTAGCAGTGGGTGTATATTCATATAGCTTCTAGCAGTGCAGGGGTTTTATTCATATTTTAAACATAGATAATTCAATCCTATTTAGATGCTAGCAACAGGGTAATGTTGTCAGTTTTCAAGGTTATTTATTTTAGCTGAAGAAATCATAAAAAATGTCTTTACAGGGCTATTTATAAAGACCATAACTCAGCTTTTGTAATTAATGTTTTGCTCAAAGGAAAGGTTTTATGTAACCTGAATGCAGTATGTTTGCTTATTTAAAGCTGTTTGATTGGTGGTGCATCCCACAGATCTCTCTAGCCTTCCATACTTCAGATTCTTACTGCATAGTTCATTATGGTAAGAAGACGGCTTCTATAAAGATCGATCTAGTTTTATACAGAATCACAAAAGAGTTGAGGTTGACAGTGATGCTGGGGGACTGTCTAGTCCAGCGCCCGCTTTTCAGCTAAAGCAGGGTGCTCAGGACTATGTCCAGTTAGGTTTTGAATATCTCCAAGGATGGAGACTCTACAGCCTCTCTGGGCAACCCGTTCCAGTGTTGAAATACCTTTACTGTGAAAAATGTTTTTCTTTTGTTTAAATATTTCTTGCATTCAGTTTGTACCCATTGCTTCTTACCCTTTCACTAGATACTACTGAGAGGAGTT